AATTAATGTGGTTAATAAACTATACTGTTTTATACAAGGAAGTATACAAAACAAGTGCCTGTTTTGCTTAATTCTGCGGTAGATGAGATCAACAGTTCCCCCATGGAGAAGAGCTGGAGACAGATATTAGACTCTGTAGCATGAAGCTCTGACTCAGTACACCGCTATCACATGTTCTGCTCCCAATTCTCTCAACAGGATTAGCTGGGCAATACAGCTGTCATATCTGACTATGTAATGTTGTTATTTGGTGGGGTATTATTCTATCAATTACGATGTACAAGTTAAAATAATCTGACAAGTTACACAACACCTCTTTAAAGATTGAGATATGTATTTTGCAAAATTCTTATTCTATTTGTAGACACTTAGAGATGGAAGAAACTCAGTAGTTGCATTGCATCCCTCACTGGCAGTACTCCTGCAGTGTATTTTCCCATGGGGTTTGGTGGGGATTTTTTGGGGGGTTGGTTGGTTGGTTGCGGGTTTTTGTGTGGGTTTCTTGGATTTTTTTTTTTAATAGCTAAAGTCTGGGTAGAAACTAACAGCCTTTTGCTCTCTCACTGAAGAATATTGGGTTGTTTTTCCAGCAGTTTTCTTCCAGGATCTTTGTCTCGCTTCCATTGCTTCTCTCCCACAGCTGCCCTCTGGAGTTGTCTTTTGGCCCTTGAATTGCAAATACTCAAGCCTTTCATTGAGATAGTACTTTATCTCCCATCACTATTAGGATAGATCAGTCTTCTCTACAAGCTTTGCCATGCAGTCAAAAGCTGTTTTGCTTGATCTTGTCTAGAGCTGCACAGGCATTTTTTTTCTAAAACAGAACATTGTTGCAAAGTACTTTCCTATTTTCTCAAAACATCTTACTTTGAAGACTCCTTCTCTCAAAGCATGGAGTTGGAAAGTCTGGGAGCTCTTGCCCTAATCACGGCTCTTAGGATTTCTAGACTCCCCCCTATACAGGCAGAATGTGGAGTGCTGAGTCGTGCAGGAAGCCACTAGGCTGTGTGGCCATGGGTGGTCCTCCTGCTGGGGCTGGAAACCCCACGGCTGGCCCTGGCCACTGCCTGAACACACAGAGTTTTGTCTTGAGTGTGTATTGAAAGATGAGCTGCTGGCTCAGGGAGTGAGTTCCTTTCTCTTCACTGGTTCTTAGGGCACAAAGTTTCCATTGCCTTTAGAGGTGATTTACCAATGTAATAAATCTCCCTGATTTGCATTAGGCATTTATTCTTTTAACAGTTTCATTTCATAAATCATATGTATAGCCATGACTTCAACTCCCAGTTAGGTACTGGATAAAAACAGAATGAGGATCTCAGTATTTTCTTTCCTTTTTCATGTTTTCTGTATTCAGAAAACATATTAGAATTCAGACGTATTAGAAATGAATCACTATAATTATTGTGGTCAAAGCATTACCTCTTTAAATTCATGTTCAGAAGCCAACTTGCTGAAAAACTCCTACAGGAAATCCTAATATACATTTTTGTTTTTATGATCAGAGCTAAAATAAAGCTGTTTCACTGAAAATTGTGTGGAAAGCCTTCCAGGGGAAATGCTGATGCCAGGTTCATCCCCCATGAGAAAGAACATCAGTTAGCTTTTTTGTGAAGCGATTTCACCCACGTTCAAGCACATATTAAAGTTGCAAAACCCATGACAAAAAGACTGTTTCAAAAAATACAGTGGTTTGATTGGTTTGCTTCTGGCTGTGGTTTCCAAGTATCTATATTTGAACACAGGCCAGTATGGACCCATCTAGCCTAGTGATTATGTAGAGAACCCTGCAATGAGACTGACTCTATAAGGAATGGTTGTTGTCATGCCATATTGTGGTCATGACTCAACTACTCAAAAAGTAAGACGGAAAATCCTGGGACTTTGTAAAGAGAGAGTGAGGGAGGACCAAGCCTGCATCCGCAGACTGAGTAGTGGCACACTGCAGCCCAGATCCAAACGGACCTAGTCAAAGCATACTACAGCTTCCTTCAATCCCATGCACCCAGATTTCTTTCTCAAATAAACGAGGTTCCAGGAGAAAAGGGGTCCTTGAACACACCTCTGACACCATGAAATGGCTGGGGATGGACTCCTGGAGCTATCAGTTCAGCTGATCTCAGGTGTCTTCACTGTTTGTGTCTTAAAGCTTTACATTTTTCCTTCAGGTTGCCCTAATTTCTTTTTCACTTCACTCAGTTGTGGAGTGTGTTCTTCACAGTGGTGTGGCTCTTGGCAGGCATTCGAATCCCTGCTCTGCATGCTAGTAAGATCAAGTCTCTGCTCTTCCAGGCATATAGCAATATACAGCAATGACCTGGCTTCATTTGGTTTCTCTTTTCAGGCTCCTTGGTTCTTCAATATAATTTGTCTTAAGTCATCCCTCTACAGAAACTGACTTTCTCTGTTTTGTGATGCTATGGAGATGCTTGTCTATGCCACGAAAAAGTCTGGAGGTCTGTCTGTGCCACCTTTCCTATTCCTCTACAGAACATTTGAAAGAACTCAGAGCAGCTTCTAATTTCTTTTTTTTTTCAGACTTTGCAAAATCCTATTTTTACCATCACTAGTTTAATTGATTTTTTTTCAAATTAGATTGAAGAGCTTTTGTGGCAAGTGTGACTAATAATAAGTTTTAGTGATTATTAACATGTATCTAGAAATTACATTTGAATTTCAAGGAACCTTTTTCCAAGATAGTGCCCATGCATTTTTATTTCCATAACATTTATGTTTTCTGGTATGTTTCTGTCCTTTTGTACTTTTTTTCGTCTTTTTTTTGCCTCTGGCTTTTTTCCTGTCTTGTACAATGTGTATTTTCCCAAATGGGTCTCAAAGAGCATTTTTTATTACACTGACAAGAACAGCAACACCTCTGTAGATTGTCCTACAGCAAAGGCATGACAGAATAAATAATCATAAATAAATCATTTTACATGGTTTCCAGTCTTTCATTTCCTTTCTCCAAGGGGCAAGTGCCCTGGCAAACCACTGGCTTGCATGGCATTTGAGACCTAAAACAGATGCTGACAGAACAGATGTGATTGTTGTTTTGCCTGCCATATCTTAGGATTTGAACCCAAATCCCAAGTGTATGACAAAATAGGCAGTGGAAGCCACCAAGGATTGATAGACCACGTGTTGCTTGAATTTCAATGTTATGCCTGTTCAGCTGCTTATTGTACGTGTTCAAAGTGCTATTCGGAGAGGTCACTTTTTTTAGTCAGAGAATTCAGATACTACATATGGCCTGTAGAAGGACACTAAACTAGGGCTTGGATGGCCTAAACTCTCCATATCTCAGTTTCCTATGTATAAGTAGAAGTAAATAAATTTATTTGCTCTGTACTTTTTTGGTGTAATTTATACTGGCAGTCTTTGGGACAGAAAGTTCAGTTGAAGCCTTTGCTACTGTTGTAGATATGTTCTCACGAAAAGTCACATTAGCTCATGATGGAGAGTGATGCCTACTAACATATACAGCCGTTTGGTGCATCATGTTGCCTTTCTTTTATGCATGTATTCATGGTCTCTGCATCTGAAAGATCTGGAATGGAGGAGTGCCTGATACCATGTGTCATCTGCACGTCCTGTTACGTGTTGACAAGTTTCTGTCTCATACTACTCATAGGACAGCTTCTGGTGCATGTGTTTACGTGTAGTGCCATTGGGCACAAGGGGCTACATGACAATGCGTCACCATAAGGCACTTACAGATGTCTTCACAACTGTCCAAGAGTAAGGGCAGTGCAAAAGATAAACACGCAGATCAAGCAAAAACATGCAATATGATCCAGTGGATAGATAAGTCTTTAGTGGTGTATTTATCTTAATTTATATATATTTTGGAAGTCAGGATTGTTACAGAGGTTTTTGAGAGGAAGTGTGTCCATTAATATGTTTTTGATTGTTCACACTAACTTCTTAAAATGCTTAAAACAGAGAAAGGACTTACATAGTACATGTGTACATGGATCTCACCTACAAAGCTAAGTGGTGAGGCAGATGATACTGACAGATATGAGGACCTAGAGGTGGAAATTGGTAGCACAAGAATACTGAAGACCTGACTGATGTTACTAGGTTTACAGTTCTCCAAACTGTGGTAAAATAATTCTGCAAGTAGATGCGTGTCTAATGTGCAACATTAACTGATGTATGTAGCCAATCAGCAAATGTAATCCATGTTTTATTCTATAAAAATTGAAATATTTCTGTTGAAATATCCTATTGGAATGAAGGAAGCCAAAGATCATAAATTGAGACTTTCAGCTACTAGACGGCTATTCCCTAGGGATTATTGTCAGGCCAGCAATATGCCAGTGCTGTACAAAATAGTCCACTGCCTAAGTGGAAGGAAACACGAGTGACAAATCTGGTATTCAGCTGAGCTTGTTATTATGGAGGTCAGAGTCCTTGGCTGATGGGAGAAATAGACCTTGCCAGAAGTGCCAGCAGTATAGCTAGTAAGGGAATGTATTAAATAAGCATCAATGAAAAGTATGCTCATAGAGAAGCAAATGTTTTGCCTTTTTTATTGCTGAAATAAAGTGAGTAATAATTATTAAAAAATACTGTTTAATCTCCATGGAGCCATTTTTCCAACTCTTAAGGTCTAAAAGTATTTTGGAGTATTTCTGAATTTTCAGAATTTCAAGCATTTTAGTAGAAACAGTCATTCTTATTTCTAATAAATGGCACATCACATGGTACTCCAGAAGCTGTTGTGTGGATTCACTGCTCTGTTACCTGCTTGCCAACACTGAAAGGATGTAAAACAGGAGATGCGGTGGCGTGAAAGAGGAGAGTGTCACTTCTCTAAAGGATGATTTTGACAAATCACATTTTACTGGCTCAGAAGCCCCTGTGTACACCTGAGCAGAGAGCTGTAGAGCTAGTCACTGAAGTGTGCAGCACAGAGCATGTTCATCTCTGTATGTGAAACAGCTGTTGGCAGAGGAAGTTTACTAAATCCACTGACTTGTTGGACCCTGTTTCAGGTGGGATTCCGTTTGTCCTCACCGGAGAGTTTTTCCAGCAGTCGCAGAGGCCGGCCGCATTCATGATAGCTGGGACAGTCAACTGGCTCTCCAACTTCGCAGTCGGACTGCTCTTCCCTTTCATTCAGGTACTCAGCAGCCTTGATGTCTGATATACTGTGATATAGCTGGTATAGTGTAGCATATGATGTTTGAATAGTAATTTTCAGGTAATAGTAAATGTCTTTATTGAAGTGGATGAAATTCCCACCATGTTTTTGATACAGTTCAATTGTGCTACGCACATATCTCCTTGTTTGAATGTCCTGGAGAAAATTGTTTTGCAAAAGAAAAATTATTGTAACCGTGGAATATGGCAAATTCCCCACAGGAGTGCTTTAGCAATGTAGTCTGATGGTTGTGTCAAGAGTTCATGGTCACTGATGATGATTGTCACTGCCTTTTTCTTCTTTAGGCCACCCATCTTCTGGTTTACCCTAGGCTTTGAGAATCCTTATTAGTCTCATTGGGGAATAGATCCTCTCCCCCGTCCCCTCACCTCACCTCCTCTCCCCTCCCCTCCTCTCCTTCCTGCATCTAAGCTTGGCTTCATGGCTCTCTTTTTTTCAATCTCTTCTGTCAGGCTTTTATTTTCATTAGCTGGTTCCTTCTTGCTGCAGCCTAGTTGCTGAATGGATTAAGTTGTTCCTGTCCCAGCTTCCCCAGGCTCCCATAAGCTTTGCTTTTAGTGGATTGCTTTATTTCCATGGCTAAACTAGTCCTCCTCGCATGGAGGACAGAGGCCAGTTTCATCAAGAGCTGTCTGACAACTGATGTTTGTATTCTAACAGGATAAGTTTATTTTCTAAAAAAATAAAACTTAATTTTTTTTTAAAAATGAAAAAATAAAATTCAAAGTTCAACATAGAGCAGCAATCTACCCCTCTGATTCCTAAGAACACTTCATCGTTGTTCATGTGTCGTTGTCTGGCAAAGGAGGCTTCAAGCAGCTTCTCATTCAAAACCACGCTGAGTTCCTTTTCCTGACCATGAACCTCTCCCAGGCACTGTCCGCAGCCTCTGGAGCTCACACAGGAGCTGATTCTCTGTCTCAGAAGCTGAAGGACGGCTGATCAGTCCCCTGACCAACCATGTCCAAACTCTTTAAAGAGACATCCTGCTCCACTGATAACAGTTTAAGAGTGAAGCTCACAACTACAGCACAAAATAAATAAGTCCTAATTGGTTTTTTTTTTAAATGCGCAGAGGAAAATACTAGGAGCAGGGGAAGGGCACAGAGGGGAGCAAGCCCTCCAGGCTACTTGCAGGTCCTCACAACCAGGAGTGAGATTTTGGATTACCCTTCAAATCATCTCTGAGTAAGAGATTGAATAACAGGCAAGGAGGTGTTAATGCTGTTTGTGCCTTCTTACAACTGAAAATTATCTGATACTTTATCATATGCAATACTGTATGACAGTATTTGCAGATACTGTAAAATTATACTGTAAGACTATATATTAATTTTCATTTGACAAGTAAAACTGCTTTTACTAAGTAGTACTGTTTAAAATTATCTGTATGAGATATTTTATGGGAGAACTTGAAAGTCTTACAAAGTCTGACCCTTGATCTAAGTTTCACACTTAATTTAAAATTTCTTGTAAAAGGAAAAAGTCTCCAGTCATTTTGATTACTTGGATCACCTTCAAAAGTCAGCATGAGTATAAAGGCTGTCATCCTTCCAAACTCTGCACTCCTACTAACATTAACTTCAATTAGACTGCTCAGAGCTGTAAGTCTTAAGAGCTTGTTTTAATGCTTACCGAAATCAGTGAGTGTTTTTCACCAGTTTCATGGCATAGAGTAAGGACTTGCCAGCTTAGACATTTAAGGTGAGATTTTCAAAAGCAGGTAGAGACATCATTCTTTTCACACTGAGGTCGTTAGAACATCTACCATGTGCAGCGGAGAAAGAATTAGACAATTCCCTTGTGTTTTTGAAAACCTATCCTTAGTCATCAGCATCGGTATGGTCCAGGAGGCAGCCATGAGCTCATCCAGCAAGTGGATGCTTCTGTGTGGGTAAATACCTGTTTCTCCAAGAAGATGGAGACTGACTATTTAAGCAGTGTTGGGGACTGCCTTCCACTCTGGCTGGCCAGGCACTAGTGGTCCCACCGCCTGCCTCTGTGGTGGCCGGGCAGGTGGCAGGGAACGAGGTCTCAAATCTAGGGGTGTATAATCAGAATACTTTTATTTGTTATGTTTTTAAATTATCCAGAGACATTTAAGGAATAATCACATTTCTCCAAAACTGTGGGTTTTGCCTCCTGCACAAAACTGAGGAGTTACCTGAGCTCTGGCTGTCAGTTGGATCTGAATTCATGCAACTCAGGGCTCTCCCTTCTTGTCCTGCTAATCCCACCTGACAGATCACCTGGTGGGAACTGTTTAAAAAGGCCTTCAGTAAATTCAAATAAAAAAGGCAATCTACTTTCTCTAACTTCCCATATGCATATTAAATCTTTTTGAGTGATTTAGTATGCATCCATATGAAGTTTGCTGTAGCCTTGGGGAATTTATCATTTTGTGTCATAAAAATTTGCCGTTGTGTGATTACGAAATCACCAGTTTAGTTTTAATGAAGGTAAATTATATTTCCACCTTGCAGGGTTTTTGGTTTTCTCTTCTTTAAAAAGTAATAAAGAGAAAGAGCTTAGAGTTTGCACCTAAAGATGAAAGCAGAGTTACTCAGACTTTGATTTTTAAAGCTTTTCCACAAGATCAAGCTATGACGTCTCCTCACTCCCAAACTTTCACTGTTTTCCTATTTCCATCAACCTTATTCTCAAAATTCAGCTTGAGTCACCTGTTTCTTTACAGAAAGGCAATAGCCCCTCCTTAGTTCATTTTTGTAATTCTAAAACAGAAAAAAAAAATCTTTAAACTTACTTCACAGAATGAATGCATAATACCTTCTGTGTATTTAAATACTAATCTGATTGCTTGAGAGACAACAGACACTTTTTTGATCATTGGTGTGCTTCTACAAAATTGGGATAATTTGGGAAACAAAAAAACGTTTGGGAAACAAATGTGTTAACTTTAGAGTTATTCAAAAAATCAACCAGTAGTTCTCCAAATGTCACCAATTAACTAGTTTGAATGCCTAGATTTTCTCTCCCCTCAACCATCTGTAGATACATGTAATAGAATAAAACACTGGCTTGAGTCATACGTTAAAATGTATGGATGAGATTGAAAAGCTAGTATACAAATCAATTTTTGACAAATTACAAAAAATATAAAATGTGGCTACTGTTCCAGCCTTCATCACTGCCTATTTGAGAAATTTGTTGGTGCAAAGAATCAGAACTGAGGTTAAAATGATAACCAGTACTATATTGAATTCACAAGTACATTTGATACTATGTGATAACTAGGAGGTGTCTGATAGTAGGTGTCAAAAATGTGCCTTTTTAAAAATCTCTTTTTAGTGCAAAATACAGTAATTGCAGAAACCTTATTGCATGGGATCTTAGAACATAGAGAGGAATTACAAAAGATCTGGTTTTAGGTCTGAAGGCATTTCAGACTTGTGTTTAACATAGAGCTTTACCTTGTGAAATGTCAAACATGTCACCTTGAGTGACACCCAACAGTATCTCTTTGCCATTGCCGTCACTTGAGAATGAAGGCGTGAGGCTTTTCTGAACAATGAGCTGTGAAGAGACAAAGACAGCTTTGATAAGCCCGTAGACCAGCTTTATGCCTGAAACAGTTCATAAAGACATGGTGACCCCTTCCCTTCAAAGCATTTCAGTGCTCCTACAGGTGCTAGAACTGGGTCATAATGCTCTGTTATTTGGATGCCAAATCTCCAAATCTTCATTCCTGCAAAATATCCATCAGTGAGTATTTGGAGTAAGTAAGAAAGCACTTCAGCCCTCTGCCCTCTCCTCTGACTTGCGTATCTCATGTTTTTGCATGGCACTTGCATGTCAGGCGATCATAGCAGTCCATAAACAACCTCCTGCTTCACACCATGTGAGCGGTGGCGTAGGGAGCTTCTCCTCAGAATGGAACCACAGGATGTGACAACGTTCATTGAATCAACCACATCATAGTAAAAAAGTAATTTGGCCACTTGGAGAAGAATGCTGGAGGTTATAATAATGCTTGTGTAAGCCTGAAGGAATTAAAATGCTTTATCTGAAATAACTACAACTTCAACACTTTTGATTTTGCCTTTACATTATATACTATACTTTATACTTTTAATGCATTGCAATTAGATTTGAATTTCGAATTTTTGTGAGCTAACCAAAATAGCTATTTAGAAAGGTTCAAAATTTGTGTGAGCTGATGAAAAGCTTATTGAATATATTGTCATATCTAAATAGGTGTGTTGTGGCTTTGTTCTTAGATACTTATGCAAACACTTAATTCCAACATTTGATTTAAAGGCGGCTTGCATTCATAAAGCTATTGATGTGTGTTCATAGGCCTTTGAAAGATCCGAACCTAAAAGATCCAGTATTGGTTGTTCAATTCATGTCTGTTTTCTGTTGTTTGTTACATTTTTCATTGTTTCAATATGTAGAGGTGAAAATAATAGTTTTTCCTTGTGCGTGTTTAATTTTTTCACTTTTCTAAAATATTTATAAATAGAAACCTTTTTTTATAAAAAAGTTCACATAAATGACTCAAATTTAAAAAAAAAAAAAAGAAAAAAAGTTGTGCAGTGTGTTCTTCCACATAAATGAAATTGCTACACTAGACACCACATTATCTGGTCAAAATTTTTAAAGCTAGATTCCTGTAAGTTCCTAAACTAAATTACAAAATTTATCTGATTTTCAGCTGTGTTGCTGAAATTTCAGCAGAAATGCTCCAGGGTCAGCATCTCACAGAAAGCATTTAATAGCAGGCTGGGTGAAGACCCAACTCAGCTAAACTCCCTCAAACACCAAATCTTTCTCCCTTGCTTGCTCTTTGTGATGATTCAGTTGCTATAGATAATTCAGGGCAGCAGCAGCGCTTGTCTCACAATCATGATAAATAATACTGATTCTAGCTTCTGCCCTATATTACAGTTTTGATGCACAGTGTTACAAATCATCCATTATTCCTTTTGTGACTAATA